GGAGGTCCCTCTCCAGGAAGTGAGGTTGAGAGTAGAGGTCCCACATCAGGAAGTGGTGGTGGGGGTGGAGGTCCTACACCAGGAAGTGGTGGTGGGGGTGGAGGTCCCTCTCCAGGAAGTGAGGTTGAGAGTAGAGGTCCCACATCAGGAAGTGGTGGTGGGGGTGGAGGTCCTATTACAGGAAGTAGTGGCAGGGGTTGGAGTTCCATTCCAGATTGTGATACGTGAAGTGGAGGTGAGGGTTGAAGGTCTGCTTCGGGTAGTGGTGATGGGGAATCTGTGACAGAAAGGACAGGTGATGACAGAGGTCCCATGCCAGTCAGTGGAGGTGGCAGTGGAAGACCAGAGTCTGGTTCGGCTTGGGGTGTGGGAGCAAGAGGTCCATGGCCCGGGAATGCTATAGGAGGAGATGAGGGCATAAATACTTCTGGCAGTGGAGGTTGAGGAGGAGGTAGCGGTTGTGATTTAACGACAGGAGAAATGGGAAGAGGTGAAGGAGTCAGTGGCTGAATCCCAGTCTGCTTCTCCCCGCATCTACAGACAAATTCTTGCCCTGACTGGAGAGGTGATGTTACTGAGTAATCCTGTGGAGGACTGACCAGTGACAGGGAGGAGGACACATCAACTAATGCAGACATTTTGCTCTCTACTTCTGGTGATGTCTGCACTGATTTGCCCTCTGAGCTCCTGTCCTCAGTCGGTTGATCTGCATCAGAGATATCATTCAATTTTGTTGCACTATTGACATACTCTTTGCACTGTGAGTCATTGTTTCTTTCCAGCTCTGCTATTTTGGTCCTCAGGTTCTTAATAGTCTTCTGTAGCTGCCGAATCTCACTTTCATGCTCTTCTTTCATTATAAATATTTTTTCCTATAGACAGAAAAGAAGAAAAAAAATACAAATTGTTGTCTTAGGCTTCACAGCATCTGCAGTATCTAATAATTAATATTTGCATGAAAGGAATATCATTGCCATAATATATCAGCCAGTAAAGTTACGAAATCCAGCAAAGTTATGAGTGTTTCATTCAGCACAAAATAATTACAGTGTAAATGAATGAAAAACTGAGCTGATGGTTAACTGGTTCAAAGCTAAGTTTCTAAGTTAGGTTTCATAGAGACAAGTCTAGACCTCTATGACTTATCCCAGGCTCCTTGCATGAAAACCAAAATCCCTACGCTAAAATAACTATACATCTAAAGCACGGTTCTCAAACTCCAGTCCTGGGGGGCTGGAGCCCTACACAGTTTTTGGTTCACCCTCATTTAACACACCTGATTCAACTCCTTGTGCTAATTACCACACAGCTCTTGAGCTGAATCATTTGTGGTGGAACAGGGAAAGAACTAAGCTACACAGGGCTCCGGCCCTCCAGGACTGGAGTTTGAGACCCCTGAACTAAAGCTTTAAAACAACCATACCATGAAAGTAGCAGCGAAAGTTAAACTTAATTACAAGTAGTGAGCCAATGTGTCCAATTGTGACATCCAAAATAAATAATATTTTCAGGAATCATGCAAGATGCTTATGTAACAACAAAATACCTATTTGGTTTTTGGGCCTGGCAGTTTTAAATGCAGTATTTTAAATACTGTAAGTTGTTATGACACTGCCACCTACTGGCAGATTAATAAACATTTCTCTAAGTGTAGACTCTATGAATTGATTTATCCTCCCATGATATGATGATGGTAGCAGCAACGTGGTAAATAAAAGCTTTTATTTATTTAGCAAATGCTTTTGTTCAAAGTTACGTGCATGTAAAAGATAAGTCAGTGATATTGGCCCAACAATAACATCACACCAGCGACCTTCTGATCACACAGTCGTAACTCCCAGAGCCACACACTGCTTCTTTTCCAGAATGATAGAGGAAATCTGTTCATGCAAAGAACCAATACTGCCTTCAACCCAGAAACCTGAACTGGGCAACTGTGAGCTATACAGCCATCATTTTTTTAATTTTATTTTAGTGTTTCTGTTTTTAGCTATAGAGGCAGAATTTTAGAAATCCTTTCTTTCTTTGTGAAGCAGTGCAATATAGTTTAATGAAATTTTACCTAATATTTTTATATTTGACTGATATCTTATCCAGGGTGTACCCCAGCCTTTTGCCAGCGAGAGGATTCAGGACCATTCACAACTCTGAGCAGGACAAGCGTGTGCAAGATGGATGACTGGATAGAGTTTCATATTGGCTTATAATCTGAAATGGATAATTCCAGTGATATAGAGGCTTTTAAAAATTTAAATTACCTTCTGTTTAAAACGAAGATGCAACAGACTGTATGAGAGCACTAAAGCATTTGTTTTGAAATTTTAAAGCCAAGAAAGGGAATACAGACGCTCCTCTACTTACGAATGAGATACGTTCTGAATGACTGTTCGTAATTTGAAATGTTCCTAAGTCGTTATTCAACATCATTTTAAGGGTATACACAAGTACGAAGAGCTAGGATGCTGGGAGTACGCACGCTATGCTGCTGGGAGTACGCACGATATGCTGCTGGGAGTACGCACGCTACGCTGCTGCGCGGCGGGAAGAGCGGGCAGAAGTCGTACTAGGCGGAATCGGTACGCATAAAAAAAAATGATGTTGCAGACAGGAAACGGGAGCCCAACAAACACAATTTGGACTTACAGTCCTCTTCGCTCGTATGTCTGAAAGTTCGTAAGTTGAAAGTTCGTAAGAAGAGGAGTGTCTGTACATGTATAGATAAATAATTTCAAAAAGAACCTAGAAAATGCCGTACTTGCACACTCCCCATTCATAGTACATCAGGGTTGTCATCTTCACCTGTTACCATTAAAATAATTGATCTTGCTCTCCATGAGAACAAGTTTGGCTATGAATGGAAGCCACCTGTTGCAGCGCCCAGGGAGCTGGAGGTTAAGGGCCTTGGTCAGGGACCCACAGATGTGCAAAGGCTAGACATGAACCGGCGACTTTCTGACCACAGGCACAGAGGCTTAACCCACTGAGTCGTACGTTGCCCCCAAAGTGTCACCCCAGCACCTTCTCGTGACACGTCAGACCTGCGGCTTATGTCTCACATCATCCTGCAGCTTCCCCATTCCAGATGTTCCAGATGGCATCACCTCATGCCCTACAATAAAAAAATAAAAGCAAGACCAAGAAAATCATTTATTAAAAAATTATTTTAACATTCAAACAAAAAAGTTAACCACTCACACAAATTGAAGTTATACCAACTAAAAAAAACTCAGACACAAACTCTGCACTTAGGGACTACAGTAGTATAAACTCTGAAGTTGATATTATTTGTTTTATTAGTTTGTATTTTGCATTCCAGTGTGGACATAGTACAGTTTTACTTTTCATGAGTCCAAATATTAATAGGACAAATAACTAAAACAGAAAGTCTTTATCATTAATGCAATTAAGGTGTCAGTAATTAAAAGAACTTTAAAATAGACTCTGTTTTGTTGTGCTTTGTTGACCCGCAAATAAAACAGTTTTTCCCCTCAAAATACGTCGGAAAAAGTGTTTTCGTCTTCTATTCAGGGTCTAGACAAAAAAAGATAATAGACACTACGTTTTGTAACAATTTACCGTAATATATAGATTTACCGTAATATAGATTTGCCGTAATATAGATTTGCCGTAAGATTTCTTAAGTGAGCGTGAGAGTCTGAAAGTGAGTGTCACGCCAGATGCGTGAGAGTTGGCGACCCTGTCAATGCGTGTCTTTAGCGTGTATCCCTGAGTGTCGTCTTAATTGCTGGCTTTCCTGGCTGTGCCACGGCTGGTATTGAACTGATATTGTCTGTTAATAAAGATAGTAACATTTATTTTAAAAGATCTGTCATATCATTTATTAATATGGATCAACCTTTCTCCGCAATAGGGCTGCTGCATCTAAAACATTCTGCGCCCTGAAGGGGTGTGTAGTTTGTATTATTCATAATCCCCCCCTTTTTTTTTAATGTCTGTTGTTTAATACACTTAATCCGATTGCCTGTGGTTGCTTTTGAAGCTGTGGTTGCTTGTTAGCTTAGTATATGTTCTTGTCAAATTATTTTTCTTTATAACGGTAAGTTTTGGTATTCCAAAAACGTTTTTTGTTTTATTTTATTTTTTTTAAATAGTTGTCAAAAGTAGGGGGGGGGTATAACTGAAGTAGATAGCAGTATAGCGTTAATGTTCTGACTGAACCTTAATCACCTTAATCACTTATGTGTACGCCAAAAAGGTTTCTTCTTCTTCTTCTTTTTTAAGGAAATGGTAAATTAACATGTTATCACTTCATTTAAAGATAACCTAAAACTCCACAGCACAGGCTACAATAGGTCAGGATGCTGTTTTTAGAACATTGCCTTGTGTCCAGCAGATGTTTTGCTGCAGACGCCCACATACCTGTCTTGGGGTGCTTCTCTGCTAGCCCCCTCCTCGCCCCATCTGCCGTAGATGGGGAACATGGACCCTGAATGCGTCCTTCAGGGGGCTCACAGCAGAGAGGGTGCCGGCTGACAGCTGTCCAGCTGTACAACCTGTCTTTCTATAATGAAATAAAAGGGAACTAATCTGTTAATATTTATAAGCAGCATAAATATAGCAGTGCAGCATAATGCATTTTTAAAGAGCTGACCATTCAATAAAGACTAGCACACAAAATAGAACCTGAATTCATTTTGCCATTTGCTCATCCTCCGCAGGGTCACAGAGAGACTATAGCCTATCCCTGGCTACACAATGCATAGTCCATCTTGGGCAGGATTTCAGTGTATCACTGGGAATACGCATCGAGGGGAATCGCGACATGTGTGGCACTGCCGGTTAGGGCTCTGTGCCTATGATCAGAAGATCATCAGTACAAATGCTACGGTCAGCAGCGTGACATCACCACTGGGCCCTTGAGTAAAGCTTTTAACTCCAACGGCCGGCTGGTCCTGCTTTCTCAATTATATGTTGCTTTGGATAAAGTCTAAATATGGCTGCTAAATAAATAAACATCATCTGCCACTGTAATCATTCCAAACCAAAGCAAATAACTGACTACAGCTAAAAATTCTACATCAATCCCCTCTAAGGCACTAAAATCAATGACATTGACTGAAGGTAGCATGGTAGCGAGGAGCTTACACCTATTTCCTCTGTCTCAGCTTTGACAAGCCTTAACAGCTTCACACTGAGCATTGAGCTACATCTGAATGGGTCTTACATTGAACTTGGGCTTGATGGGGGAGGTGCTTTCTCCATCCTCGTTATAGAAGTCAGTGACGGGCAGCAGGAGTCCCTTAGCTAGGAGCTGTGAGCAGAAATCCTCTGCTTCCTCAGTTGGATCATCTCCTCTGACTCTAAAGAACTTCTCCAGCAGGGTGTGGCCTAACAGACAGAGAGAACTACAGTGTGTAATTTCATGGTAAATCCACAATCATCTAAGAACGCTACATTATACAAAGACTGTATAATGTCTTATTACGATATCATACTTTATCTTCAGTTGTAAACGTGTTTGGTAAGACTATGTAGTTACTGATACATTTATCGTATTTAGGTCATATTTAGCTCATACGTCACCTGTAACAGGGTGATGAGGTGGCTCAGTCAGAAACACTATAGACTCAAACTTCCAGGGGTTTAATTCCCAAGCCTAAAGTCTAAGACCATGTGAGTGTGATGTGAATGTGTGCCCTTAGTGTGTTATTGTGTGGAGTATGGTGGAGTAAAAGACCACCAAGGGTGTCCCTTGCTTAGTGCATTCTGGGATTGCCCACAACCCTACTGTGGATAAGCAGTGTGCATAAATACTTTGGGGAAAGCAAATCCCCAATTTGCTTCCATTTAGGTTCCAATATAACCTAAGAAGAATGAGACTTGGAAAAATCACGTGCGCTATTATTATGTTCCATTGTTAGTACTCTGCAGATGAGCTCCACAGGCATGGAGTATTTAACAAGTATATTCAATTTCAAAACCAACAAATGAACAAAAAACAAACAAAGCAAGCAAGCAAACAAACAAACAAAATAAAGATGCTCCTGCATGGTTTGATTTGTGATGTTTTAAAGATGTGTGATGTTTTTATTTGCTTTTTATCTGCTTTTAAAATGTGTTTTAATCCGTATTCATTTACCAAAAAATGGCCAACACAAATATTACAGACAGACAGATAAAGCTTATTGGTAAATTTTTGAGAATCCAAAATATTACTTGTAGTTATGGGGAATTTTATTGGGTACATTTCATAAACTTTAGGAATTTACTTACCAGAGAAGACATTATGAAAACTGCAGGGGGAGGAGTATACACAGGGTGAATTTTCTCCTAATAGCTGGCTACCGTGTCGAAGCCTGCCCTCAGACTTTCCATAACTTGGGTAGTCAGCTTTCCTTGGTTGGTTTTTGTTCAGCTTCTCAGTCCAGTCTATGGAGTAACCAATTAGGCCAGCTATGCTGCAAGATCTTTGCTTCCTTGCCCTTTGCTTCTCTGTCTGCTGGTAGAGCTCCACCTGCTGGTTAGCCATGGGACTGTGGGATGAAGAAGGTGCAGCTGACTGATTTAATGAGCTCAGTTGCCTAGTAGTGGTCTTTACATAGGACAGGTGAATGGGAGGATATGGCTTGATAGATGAGATGGACACAAAAGGTAAAGAAGACCTCTTCTGACAATTCTGCATGGGTCCACTGCAGATAAATTGTCTGCTTCCTCTCCTATTTGCTGAATCATCCAGACCTGTATTGTTGATAGATTCCATTGATTCTGAAATCATTTCATTATCATTATCTGATGGCTCTTCCACACTTTCAAAAGACTTTTTGAGATTGTTTTCACTGACTGTTGTGGTGATTGTATTTTTAGATCTACTGTCAATCTGTACCATTGGGAGCTGACAGCTCAATAGTCCATGTTCCTCTGTCGCGGAGCCAGAATAAAGTTTAATATCTGATTTGTTCAACTTCTGATTTAGGTCTTCTTCAGGGCTAATTGATTTGTATTCCTGATTGGTGTTGGTCAGTGAAAGAATGGCATCCTTTGCTGGGTATTCCTCTTGGCTAAAGTTCTCTTCCAGAAATAACAGCTGCTCAGTTATTTGGAGTTCAGTTTGGTGCATGGGTTTGTCGTCAGTTGCTGACTTAATGTCCCCCTGCTGTGGATGAATCACCTGCTGGACGTTTGACAGCAAATTCTCTGGTTCAGCAGCTGAGTGGAAACTGTTGATATCAGTGTCGGAGCCAGAACTTGCTATCTGCTCATCCGGGGTCTCCAGACCTGACTTGCGGCTCTCGGCTGTGGAGTGAAAATGCTCCTCAGCATCTGACAGCCCCAGTTCATCTGCAGAAATGCTGATGTTAGGTGTTTCTGTCTTGATTGTCAGATTTTTATCATGACCAGCTTGGGTATGTAGAGCATCATCCTTTGATGCCCCTGAGGAATCTTTAGCCTTGGCCCGACTCTTTACTTTGTGGACGCTTGAAAACACCGAGGGCTTAGAATCCGGCTTGGCTTTCTCATTATTCTTCTTTGATTTCCTGCTCTGAGATGCTTTCTTTGCACTCTCTGTATCCTTGCCCCCCGCTCCTCTTTCGTTGCCGTCAGTCCTGCGATCCGTGTCTCCTGTGGATCTTTTCCACTTCCCATTCTGGCTCCCCATGTTTTTCAGCAGAAGCACTTCCTTAGCATTGAGGCCATGCTGCTCGACGGCACTGTGTGCTCTGCCTCTGAGCGCAACCCTGCTCAGCCACCCCGGCTTTCCGGTACTTTCCGGTGATGAGACAGCTGCTGATGCAAGAGAAGTGGACACCGCCTCTGGCTCTCCCCTGTCTGCCAGCTCGGCCGCACTGCATAATGTGGTACTGGCAGAGCGTCGTACTGGGACTCGCTCCAGGCAGACTTCCTTCTCGGTTGATTCTTCCCACTGATGCTGGGTCTTGCCCAGGCCTGCCACACGGTAATATCTCCCATCTTTGAAAGTGCTTCTGAAAAAGCTCTCTTTCAGTAAAGGGAGTTGGATTTCTTTGGTCTGAATGGTGTGCATTTTGAGCCCTTAGCTTTTATCCGAGTATGGAGCTATCAAAGGACCTGAAAGTCAGACAGAATGAGACACTGGAATATTTAGAAAGTGCTGAAACTTATATAATTTAATGAATAAGAAACTTTGAATAATATTTCACAATAGAATATGTAAACAGAATAAAGAAGTATCCGTGCATTAAAAACAGAGAATCAGATACAAAATATATGAACATATTTATGGAGATATTTTGATAAGGAGGCATTTTTTGCTCGTATTTATACAATTGTGACGTCTCATAGGAAAACTGTTTCTAAATATGGTTAATTAGCCTAAAGGTAATTACCTCCTTGTTTTTGTTAGACTACTGCATTCCCTGGGGTTTTTACACAGACGCCGTATTTCAAACTAAGCCAGGTTTATAAAAAAATTAAGTTAACCAACATTGTAAAGAATTAAACTTATTATAATCTCATTATCTTATTATAGTAAAAAATATTATAAAGTGACTTTTTTATAGCAAGGAATTTAATCTATTAAAAATCGTGTTTAGTTACTTCGAGATAAAAAGCACATTTTAAATGAAAGCTAAAAACAGTAATCAAAGTTTTCCTACTTGGTAATTATAAAAAAGAATAATGCAGGTGATTCAGGGCTTGTAAAAATATCTGTTAGTGAAGCTTAAACAGGAAAGTAAGACAATACTATGGACTTAAAGATAAATATTCATAAACTGTTTAACCCGTTTAACCTGTATTGTCTAACCTGCCTAAATTTTCACAAATAAACTGGTAAGACGCAAGAACTAGAAGTAAAAACACAAAAAATACAAAACAAATTAATAAAACAGTTTGTATAGATAAGCCAAGGCCAAATATATCATTTGCAAAAGGAAGTGCACTGATAATACAGCCGTACTTGCCTCTCCGGTCTCCAGTTCTGAGGGAAAACAAACAACCGTTTGTATTTGATATTTTTTATCTCTCTGCCCTCAGTCACATGAAATTAGGGTGCTTAACGTCACATGGCATCCCATATTGAGTTACCATATTGAAAGTCTGTTGTATAAAATGGTGCATAATATTATTACTATCAAGTTAAGTCAAATGGGCTTTACTGTCATACCATACATATGCAGATATACAGTGGCACAAAGTGTGTGTGTGTGTGTGTGTATATAAATTAATACAGATTGTAAGTCATTATTGTTATTATTCTCCAGCATGCATATAGAAAAATAAAATATGTGCTGAAGCTAAGGGTTAAATGTATTTTCATCTTAAAGATGTTTTTAGCTGCAAAAATGGAAGCCAAGTTCATATCACCACTCTTTCGGTAAACTGAAGGTTTAATCATTAAATTTCTGGTTGGCACTTTATAATTTGGAGCCGTGTGGTCCATCTGGAGATCAAATGTTTTATTTGCTTCTCCTAATGAACACTGAATAACTCATTTACAAGTGGCAGGGAAGGGCTAAAAATGACATTTTGTTAAGCTGCAGAAATTGAATAACTTCACTTCAGACACAATCCTTACTCTGTGTAGTGGTGCGCTGGAAATGTAAGACCATCTGTCATTGTAGGAAGATAAAGATGGTTTGCTGTTAGAAGTCAGTGTTCCAATTGGGAGAGGAACAAATATTAGTTATGCAACAAACAAATATTAGTTATGCAATAAATTATTTAACTTACAAATTATTTAGGTGCTTGTGTCCTGGGGGTAGATGACATTGATGATGCAATCAGCTATTGACCTCCCACTATTCTGTGAGAGTCCCATCGCCTCTAGGTGTATGAGAAGAGGTAGTGGTGCCCCCCCCCTCTACAGGCCTCGGCCTTCTTCCTGTTGGTTCCCTGTGTTTCAGTTTGTCCCTGATGGTTGTTCCTCATGTTTGACCCCTTGTGGTTCTTTTGTTGCTGTTTTGGTTCCATAATAAACCCCTTTGTGCTGGAAGGCTGTGTGTGGATTGATCCTCCCTTTCATAGTGATACCTAGGCAAAACTATCCTAGTCCATCATAGAAATGTTCAGACACTGCTGCCAGACCTTGTGCATTCCATCCTAATATACTGAAGATCCAAACCAAAATTTGCTTGTAAGTTTTCCTCTCTAGTTCATCATAGAAATGCTCATCATAAAATCTAAATCTTACAGAGTTTAATTACTTTTTCATTAATTCTTTTTCATAGGTGGATGCCTACCTGTGTACCAGTTATGTGCACCCCTGTTTATAAATGTTTATACAGTACTGTACTGTATAGTGTAATAAACATACAATAAGCTCTTATATACATTACTTAGCTTTGCATACTGTAAATACAGGTAATCGTTTTTATTTATAATGAATAATGAAAAGGTCTAAACGAAACTGCAACTTGATAACTTTGTTTGAATTTGCATAACTGCTTGACGCTGAGATGCCGTGCTGCAATTTCCACGGCCAAAGTTCTCGTACAGAGTACAGTACCGACTGGTCGGAGAGCTGGTCTGAAGGTCAGTACTGTCATTAAACAGGTAGGTCGTTAAGTCACGAGTATCTGTATTATTAGTTTAGATTACATAAATCAGACAAATATTCGATAAGTAAAAACCACTTTTATAAAATCAGTCAGCAATTAATATGTCATGCAAACTGCAGTTCTTCTGTTGGTACAGCCATGTTACTTTTTTAGACATTAATAATTCTAAAGACATTAATAATTCAAGTTCCATTATTTTAAGGAGAGTAGCTATAATATAACACACAAACTCCCATGAATATGAGAATTGACAGTAATTTTTCAAAGACGGAGTGCCTACTAATGTTCTGGGAAATATATTCCATTTATTTTTGTGTTAAAGATACATTTCAATTACATACAATTTTTTGTATTATGTTGCTTTGTCACTTGTTTTGCTGCATAGTTTACCAAATGCACATGTATAACTAATAGTTTCATCCATCCATCCATCCATCCATCCATCAGCACGTTCCCAGTTCAGGGTCTTGGTGAACCTAGAGCCTTTGCCAGGAAGCAAAACTTACAGTAACCTTGGATGAGATGCTATAAAGGTGAAGTTTTTCATAAAATAGATTTGAGTAAGAAGTGTTCATTTTTTAATGGTAAATCAAATATAAACACTGTGATGTGTATAATAATTGGAATGTTCGCTTGTGCATCACAGAGTGCACAGAAATTCACACAATACTGAATTTTATAGATAAAAATTATTTTTACGCTCGATTCAACAAAAGGGACAATTTTGTTCACTAGATAATAGTCACCTTTATCTACATGTCAATATACTTCATTCTGTTATTTGACATCTAAGTCCTCATTTATTTAATATTTGAACTAATTTAAAAAATGAGAGAGGAAAAAGACATAAGGAATATATTTTCCCAAAAACCTACAACATGGTATACATTGCATAGGCAAAATGCAGTTCCATGTCTAACATTATCATCTACTGACATTAAGAGAAGATAACAGTAGGGGGCGTTGTTCATCCACTGCAAAAGGATGGTGCTGCTAACGGGAGATGGATGTGGAAACACTTTCAGGGCCTGTCTAGGAAAATTCAAGGTAACGAAGTACAAGTTTAGACTTTTTTTTTAAATCTAAGACATGCATTTCTACTTATACAAGCTATAATCAATTGCACAAACAAAGGAATCAGTTCAGGACTGTCCTTATTGAGTATGACTATATCTTTCATATTAGCACATACAGTACTTTGAGTCTATAAACATTAATCAGAACACTTGTCTATACACTATGTAAATAGAACATATGCAGCTACTATTGCAGTTGTCAAATTATATCACATAAAATGGAAAATATGCTGTCTGTAATGTCAGAAATAACTATTTAAATAACTCTTAAACAACCACCAGATATCAACAACTGTTGAAAAAAAAATAAAGTTAAATACACTAAGATACAATTAAAGGAAACATAATAGTGCAATACTGTCACTAGAACATTAAATTTAATTATCCAGATTGTGCTATAGCAAAGAAGCTCTGTAAATTTACCGAAAGGCAAGGCAGACCTTGTTTGTATTAGTTGCCTTTTTAGAAGACATTGTCACTTGTCTTGATCAAATGAATGCCCATACCGCACCTTTTCAGTTCAAACATAAACCATGGAGAAACTGATTGGACAAACAGAGGATGACTTTAAGGGTCCGCAGACCAATCAAAATGTATATTAGAATCTTCAGACGCTCCAGGTTCTTTAAAAACCCTGCTGCAGAAAACTGCCGACTGCTTCTTCTCGAACTGCCTGAACCGCTCTCTCTTCTCTCTCTCACATAGCAGGATCATTTTGAAAGTGGTCCGGAAAGCTTTGTTACACAAGGCATAACACATTGGGTTCACTGTGCTATTGACATAACAAAGCCAGTAGCCCAGAGCCCATAGAGCATCTGGAATGCACCCATTACAAAAAGTATTCACCAGCACCATGATATTGTAGGGCGTCCATGTAATAATGAAAGCGAACAGGATTGCGCTCAATGTCTGTGCAGCTTTTTTCTCTTTGATGAGAGTTGTTCTTCTGCGTTTATTGATCTGCGTCCTCGTCTTTAAGGCAAACTGCTTCGCTAGGGCAGCATCTTTGTTGGAAATAGCAGCCATCGGGGATTTGGAAGTCAGTGCTACTCTGCCTGTGCTCACGGTTGTACAGGTGGACATCGCCTGGACAGATATCTCGGAGAAGTGCTGGTGGTAGCTATGGACCTCCTTCTTGTTTCCACCTTTTGTCGAGCTGCTGTCCCTGCATTCTTCCATAGATCTTTCTGTATTCTCCTCCGAAACATTCAGCGCCTCAGGAGATATAAGTTGCAGCCTGCTATCCGCCTTCAAACCAGGAAGGTTGAGAACGATGGAGAAGATGGAATGGCATTCAGGCATCTCCTCCTCATCTGAAGAGACCGACTGCTCATTGGAGACACTCTGCTCTCCCTCACAGCCTTGTCCCATGGTGTTGGGCCAGAAACTGAAGCAGCTCAGTGTTCTTTTGGGCACACGCGTATGCGCCACTTGTGTCGTCTCAAAAATGCTGCAACTCTGGGAACTGCCAAGCTGGTGAATGAAGTGAGACTTTTCTCTCCTGCTGCCTGAGGCCTGCAAGACGGCCAGCTCTTTCGAGCGATTCTCCGTCTCTTTGTAGATCCTCCAGTACAGCACAATCATGATGGTGACTGGCAGGTAAAATGCAGCTATTGCTGTGCAGAAGGTGATAATGGGCTCCGAGAGAAATGGGACGAGACATTTATCAACTGGCACAGTGCGTGCTCCTGCAAAGTACTGCCATAACAAAATGGCAGGGGCCCACAGCACAAAAGAGATTAACCATGCCAATCCAATCATTATCCCAGCTCTTTTTGTTGTTCTTTTAGCCCTATAAGTGAGAGGTCTGGTTATAGAAAAGTATCTATCAAAACTTATAACTAAAAGATTCATAACGGAGGCATTGCTAGCTACATAATCAATAGCAAGCCACAAATCGCATGCCCAGTTTCCCAAAGCCCAGTGGTCCATTATTATATAAGTTGTATAAAGATTCATTGAACAAAGACCGATGATTAAATCTGCAAATGCAAGGCTAAGGAGGAAGTAATTATTCACCGTCTTTAGCTGCTTGTTCACCTTGAATGAAACCAGTACAAGAATGTTACCAATGATTGTAACTAAGGATAACAATCCAGAAAAGAAGACGATGAGAATGACCTGCCAGATTTGATGCCCCCCCAGGGGATCGTACACCAAATTGGCTGTAAATGTAGCATTTGTCAAAGCTTTTATGCTGGAATTCTCGCTGAAAAATGGGTCAGTTTCACTTTGATGTTCAGGCCACTGATTCCCTGCAATAGCAGCGGCGTCCAGGAAACTCTTCTTTCCTTGCAGATTGTTGGCCAGATACAGGCTGATGTCTGTGCTGTTGTAACTTGCATTCATTATGATGCTGTCACATATTCTACAAATAAAACAGAAACATTGTAAACAACAACTGAGGTAACTTCCAGTGTTTTTGTAACAAGAGTAACAAGAGCTTTGTTCAGAGCTATGTTCACATTTTTAAGATGTATACATATTTCGGAATACTAAAGAATAATCGGTAACACTTTACTTGTGGGGCACAAATAATGTCGTATTATACTATTACTTATGTATTAATTAACCACAAACTAAGCCTTAGTTACATTCTGATCATGTGCTCCTTCATCATTAATGAATCATTACTCGTCTTTTATCACAAGTAGGTAATACATGTGTTCATGATTTGTATTCCAGTAGCAATTGAGTTACTACTAAATATTTGTGCCCCCTCAAGTAAAGCATTGCCAAATAATCTTTATAGACGCAGAATATCATATCATTTACACATCGATATATATGTTCTGTAATATTCCATTGAGATGGAAATAAGGAAGAGAAGTGCATCCGAGAATTCTTTATTAGTTGAAGATATGAGATTTGAGAGCCAGAGAAAAGGAAAGTGATCCAGACAGATAACACCAAGTGTCAAGGGAAGGCAACCAATAAGGAACTATTGATAACATAAGCACAGAATATGGAAAAACAAGCGGATTCCTTGAAAACACCTAGATAAGTAAAGAAGACCCACTGCTAGAGACTTGCTTAATGAAGTAATACAAAGAAACCCAATAGTTGGCAATATTAAACATTTATCTCTATACAAAGAGAAATTCAATACAAGGAAGAAATATTACAATAAATGTCACATTGCACCACAGACCTCTATAAAATAAAGTTATGGGAAAACATCAATGCTGTAACTACAGTATTAATAAAAAAACACAGATAAAAAATCTTGTCTGAAATCTTCTGTCATGCCTGCCTTTTCTTTTTATTCATTCTTATTTTTTTCACTTTCATTTTAAATTAGTTACAATTTACTTTGTAACATCAGAGTTCTAAGTATTATTATTAGTTTGCTGTTCTGTTCTCTAGACAAACAGAACAATGAAGATGACAAAGTCATTACTAGAAGGAAATGACTGAGACATCGTGCTTGCTAAACTGATTATTCCATAATAAATTACATTTTGTAATGCCGTGACATTTAATAAGTAAACAATCAACAAGGGAATACAAGTTCAGAGAGTGAGCCTCCTCAGAATCTTTCTAAGAGCTATGAATGGTTTAATAGAGCAACATGTAATTACCAGTGTTCAATGAAGATGGTAAGAAACACAGTTTAGGTGATGCTTTGTGCCTCTAGAGAAGACGTCTTGGGTGTCTTATGAATTATATAATGAACAGACTGGGGAGCATCATAAAAATGAATCTCTTCATCTTTACAAAGGACCTCTGAGACCTAGAACAAGAAATCTGGGGGGAAATAATCATTATATTTTATATATATATATATATATACACACACACAAAATTATATTTGTTATATAAATGTGGGGGAAAGTAGCATGATTAATTACCATGTGATATAAGTGTTCAATGTAGAATGTCAGTGTTCAAGAACACTTGGAACGAGCCCTCTTAATAGGCTATCCCTGTTTATAATAAGCTTTGCGACACTGTAAGTTAAAAAAACCCAGAAGGTATCAAGCTAGAGCTCTTCCTCTAACGACTTAATACAGGTTATGAGCGTGATTTCAATAGTGCCAACAAATCCCTGCTGATTATTACTTCCTACCTTTTGTAGTTATCGTTAATGCTAGTTTAATGCTAGTAAAAGTCATAATCAATTTACACAATGGATATTAAGCATATCAGTACCTCACAAGCACAAAGGAAACTGCTGTCCATTGTCTTTACAGTAATGCGTGCTTACTGTAACTCCACCTATTTCCTACTTAACCAGCTTATTCAGTTTACAAATGTAAAGCTCTGTGTAACACTCTACGTACTGCATGTAAGAAGAGAGCTTCACTACTTATTTATAGTTTGTCTCCTCAGCCAAGCATCACCACTGATCCTGAGACCATTAATACAAGATGAAAAAAGAGGCTTTGTCTGAATACAGTACTAATGAATGTCAAATAAAATCAGTATACACTCGATTTATTTACGTTACTGTCCTTAAAATTGTATTTTCGAAAGTCAGTTTGCACTGTCAGACAGAGATGTTTTGTTATCCTGTGTGTACCACAATCATGCTATGAGTAACCGGTTCATAACCCCAGTACTTCCATGTTTATTATTAGTGTCAGAAAGTTAATATAACTTTGATAGACAAAATCATTTATTCTCCTAAAGTGTTGCAAAAAGTTAAAACGAGGAGAGTAAATACTGTACCATTAATATCAACTGATTTAATACTTCAATCACTGCCTTCACAAAAACACCCAATTACAAAGCATCATAGAAAATGATTAGCTATTTGTAAACATAACCAGATCAAATGAAATCAAATTGACAAATTAAAATCAATGCTCTAATACAGTATTATACTAGTTGGTCAACCAAGGAATACTCTTACACATATTCACATACATTATACATAGATTTTTAATAAACCTTACTTACCCTTGTGAAAATCAAGCAGTATACAGAAATAAGGAGTATCCACTCGCTCTGTGTAAAGTCAGATCCACTTTGAACAGTAGCTTTGTCTAGGCTAGAGCACAGCTGATTCATATTCTCAGATTGTGTGGCTGGGTGGCTGTTCTCACCCTGCACTGCTGGCCAACATCTGCTCTCTATAGCATAAAGTAATTGAATTTTCAAAAGCGCCGGGCAGATGGATTCCTGACTGCTTCACCGTGATTGGATAAGGTGCCAGCATCTCGCACAAGAGTCTAGCCTGGCTAGTCATAGCAAACAAATACATCTAACAATACAAACCTGGAAACTAAACACGATAATTCATGCTAGAGATATATGATTTCAGATCGAACATTACACACTAAGTTATGGTCTGGAATTTATATACAGAGATGTGAAAGAGTACACCCTCTTTCATTTCTTTGGTTTTACATATAGGCTATAAGGGTGTGGATGATATAAATGAATAACAATTACATATCAGAGCATAAATAACAATCATCTGGTCCTGAAATCTTAGCCTCAGAAGACACAAATTTCATTGTCACTCTTTATTCAACAAAAGTAAGTCAAAATGCATTAATCAATCATCTGGTCCTGAAATCTTAGCCTCAGAAGACACAAATTTCATTGTCACTCTTTATTCAACAAAAGTAAGTCAAAATGCATTAATCAGGTGAGTAAACGTAAGCATATCCTTACTGATTCCAAGGGAATTAAGATTTGTCGATTAGTAGCTGGTGGTACAGCTGTTGGACTCGGTCAGCGTACTTTACACAACACATCTATCCATCTGCAGAAGGCAGTAAAGAGCTAGGAAGCTACACCAGATTTCATTCGTCTCTTAGAGTTACAATTAGAAGCTTTATATTATCATTATATCATGTATAACGAAATTTCAAAGCAGCTGCCCCTTCAGATGCAACAAAAAAAAAAGAATAATCATTTACAATGTAAATGTAAAACTAAAAAAGAAAAACTTAATTAAAAAGTATACAGAAAGGAGTAGTAATGTTTGACAAGACAGAAAGAAAAGGTATTGATGTGCCAGTCCAATCTGATCGTGATGTGCAACTCCAGTAATGTAGATTGCTGCTTGTTCTCCCCCGTTTCTTCCTGTAGTCCATAATAATCTCCCTTTGAAATAAAACTGATGATAGCTTGTTGTCCAGGCACCATAATTCCAGGGCTCTCAGTCTGCCCTATAGACAGCTTCATTGTTGTTAGTGATGAATCCCATCATGATGGTACCATTGCCAAGCCTGATGATGGAGCTGAGCGTGCAGAGCATGCAACACAATCATTGGTGTACAGGGAGTATAGGAGGGGGCTGATCCCTCGGTGGCTCCTGGATTGAGGATTAGGGAGGTGGAAATGTTACTATCTATTCTCACCACTGGGATCTGCCGCTTGGAATGTCCAGGGCCTTGTTACTGTACATCGTGCTGATCATATTGAGGGCTATCGATGGCTCAGAGGGCTAAGCAGCATTTCCATAGGAGAAAATACATTAAACAGGGCCACTATTGATTTAATCTTAAACATACATTTAATTACAGTATATTCTTTTCATGGGTTATTTCTATGTATGGGTATGGATGTGTGTTCTGCTGAAATTCCTGTTGGAGAAACAGAGGCAGCAGTAGATGACATCAAAAGGCAGCATCTTCTCCGAAGAAGAGGAGATGGGTGGAGCAGAGTGATCTGAACCTCTGATGGAGAAGACCTACGTCATCGAGGATCGGTTCCTTATAAGTGTACTGGCTGATTGATGATTTTAGCATATAGGAATTTGTGATATACATTAAAAGTGATAATAATACTTAGGACAAGTGATGGGAACCAGAAATAGACGGGACTGGGCAGGGGGTTGAACAGTATTGGGGAAAAAAAATCACATTGCAATATTTTTGGGTTTTGTGATCGCTGTTCATAACATCAGATTTTGCTGCTTAACATTTTTCTGTCATGATACAAATGAAACAGCAGGAGTAAAATACATAAATAAATCAGATTGGCAGTTTCATACATAGTAACGTCCATTACGGGACGGGAAGAGCTAACACTTTTGAGCTTGTTATTTTAAAAATCCTCTTGTAAATGCTCTTGTGCTTAAACATCAGATAGCTTTTTCTGATGTTCTTGTACAGTGCGGGGAGGTTTTCTAGCTGTATTTTGCCGCCTCAAGTGTTTCTCTCAGATTCAGGACATCTGCTCCCCTCTGATTTGAGTTCTGCAGCTCCAGACTGGATATTCTGTGGTTGGTACAATTCTCGGCCAAGCATGAGTCTGTTAGGTGTGAACCCTATGACTCCATGCTGGGACTGCAGTAGGCTAAGGTGAGTGGCGGCAGGTGCTTGTCACAGTTTTTCTGGTTTTGGTTTACATAGCAACAGATCATCTGGAATAAGGTTCCGTTTAACTGTTCTACATGTCTGTTAGAGGTGGTGTGTAG